CACACCGAGGCGAAAGAAGAAAGGTCGACGACCCGCGATGGGACTGTACATCCAGTGGCCGCAACTTATTTAAGAGTTAGACAAGTGCAATACTCGCAAAAAGCCGTTTTTTTCCTAGTTGACGAGGACGGATGGGCATCGCGAGGAAAAAAATCGTGGCTAACGGTAGTGGAACTGAAAACAAATAACACCAGAAGATATTTATATGACAAGACGGTATAAGATCTAGGATTTAAGGTACTGGAGTGTTTTTCAACTTTTTTACCGAGTCACAAAACGAAATTGGGTTAAAAAATATGAGACCTGTATTTTTTTCATATTGACTCATTTCTTGGACGTTTTTTTTTTCAAAAAACGCGAACCCTGCCGTTACAAAGCAAAATAGATCTATTCATCCAAAAAAATAATGATACACCCTCCCTTCCTCACACGTTTATTGAATTTTTTGCCATGCTGGCTTCGGAACAAGAGATATAGGTATTACAAATTGTGGTAACGGTAATTAGTGATTGCTATCTCAGAGATCTGGCAACGCAGAGGCGGCAACTTTCTCGCCGCCATGTTATGTTAATGCTGACAGGCGCACAGGAAGCCGCTTGCGAGTGCGTTTAATTTCTCAAGACACTTTCATCGCAGGTTTTCCCCTTTTTTTTTAGTTCTTCTCCGCCTTTAGCGGTTTTTATAATGTAACCTAAGGTATACTTTTAATATTCATACACCAAGTAGGATCAATTTAGTTAATTATTAGGTAAATATACAGGGTGTTTGGTAAGTCGTTGCATTCCTTGCTGGAGGTCATAGTACAAGTGATCTGTGATATATTTCTTTAATATACCATATTCCGAAAACGCTTAGTTTCTGATCTACCGGGTGGTAAAGTTTTAATAAAAAAATGAAAGTTTATAAATATTGCGAAAACCGCTCAGAATACTTTAATGAAATTTTACAAGCTATGACAATTAACAACAATACATGTTTCACGATAAAAATATTGTTTTTAGTTTCACCAGTGGAGTGCGCCCAGGCAGTCTTTGGATATTTTTAAAGAAAAAAATGATACGCCACTGATTTTTCTTAAAATAAAAATTATTTTTAAATTCCTTGCTCAATTTGGAAGAGAAAAGGTATCCCGACTGTTTTTCTTATGACGCACCGTTTGCGAGTAAAACAAATAATACGCATGGCGTAATCCGATTTCAATAATTTGCAAAATAGCAGAAATTATGCACTCAGCTTTTTTTTTGTACCAATTTTATTACAAAAAATTATTATTCCTCGCAGTTAACAACATCAGTCTAAAAAACTTTTATCAGTTTTCACTATCTAAACAGAAATTGGCTGTGCACTCTTTTTTGTTACTGTTTGACAAAGTTAATAATAGCTGTCACTTTGAGTGTTTTAGTGTGAAGCAGTTAAGTGCATAATTTCTGCTATTTTTCAAATTATTGTAACCGAGTTATGCCATGCAATAAATCGATTTTATTTTTTTACTCGAAAACGGTGCGTCATAATAAAAACAGTCCAGAAACCTTTTCTCTTCCAAATTGAACAAGGAATTCAAAAACAGTTTTTATTTTAAGAAATATCAGTGCTGTATCATTTTTTTCTTTAATAATATCTAGACATGACTGTGCGCACGCCACTGGTGAAACTGAAAACAATATTTTTATCGTAAAACATGTCTGGCTATTAACTGTCAAAGCCTGTAAAATTTCATTAAAATATTCTGAGCGGTTTCCGCAATATTTATAAATTTGCATTTTTTTATTAAAACTTTAACACCCCCTAGATCGGAAACTAAGCGTTTTCGGAATATGGTATATTAAGGTAATATATCACAATTCGCTTGGACTTGAACCTCCTGCAAGGAATGTATCGACATACCAAACACCCTGTATACAGGGTGTCCGCGTTTTTTGTAGCAAGATTTTCACAACTTGTACTAAAAGTCCTTTAAAAAAAAGTTCATGTAAACATATATGTATAGATGCGTCGTTTTCGATTTACAGAGTGTTCAAGTTTAAAATGAGAATTGATTTTTTATTGGTAAAACGAAAACCCCTTTTTAGACTTTGTTGAAACTTGACAACTTTGTTTGTAATAATAATACTAATTTTCTCACATAATTTAATTTGTCCTATTTTCTCCAGTGGCGTCACAACAAGATACCAGCTTGATAAAAGTAGAAAAAAATATAGTAATGGTATATGGTTTCAAACTTACCAAAAAGCAGTGGCGTACCATATTTTTTTCTATTTTTATCAAGCTGGTATCTTGTTGTGACGCCACTGGAGAAAATAGAACAAATTAAATTATGTGAGAAAATGAGTATTATTATTACAAACAATGTTGCCAAGTTTCAACAGAGTCTAAAAATGGGTTTTCGTTTTACGAATAAAAAATTAATTCCCATTTTAAACTTGAACACTCTGTAAATCGAAAACGACGCATCTATACATATATGTTTACATGAACTTTTTTTTAAATGACTTTTAGTACAAGTTGTGAAAGTCCTGCTACAAAAAACGCGGACACCCTGTATATTACTTTGTTTTTTTTCCGTTACTTAATTTTATTGCAAATAGGTACAATTTTTAATGTTCTGATATTATTATTGAAAATATAATTTTTTAATTTACAGTTATAGTAGGGCTATTGGCGAAGATCTCCATAATAAAAAATGACGTGGAAATTTATTCCTATTTATTATTTGAGAGCGGATTAATAATATATCCAAATAGTTGCTTATAATTTTTATAAAATCTGAATGAAAATCTTGCTCGTGAAAGTTTTTCTATAATATTGTAAGTGCAACTAAAAATTTCCAGCTTTTAGTCGTTTGACCTTGAAAATTTAAAATTTCTTATTTTCTTTCTTGCCCGCCCAGTTAAAAAAGCCACGGGCCTCACCTAATCACGTCACGAGCCGCCACTGCCGTATACTTAATGAATCGATAAAAAATTTACAATTTTCAATTAAAAACCTGTTTCTTGCGTTAAACAATTCGGTATTTAGACAAACCGCCAGCCGATTACCGGGACAGGTTTCGGTCTAGGCGAGGCATGCACGCTCCGCTGTCGCAGTGGAACAGCATCAATTTGTCAAATATCCAGGCTCTCGGTGCCCGTCATTTATCTGGGAATTACCAGTGCCGGCGAACATTAAAATAACAAATGACATCCGAGCCGGGACCCACGCGTGTTTTCGTCTGCCCGCTGCCGCCGCCGACCTTCAGATGTCATTCGCTCGCCTGCCGGGCGAAAAATCGTGGAAGGCGAGCGCGCGATAATTATCGGGAAACAGTGTAAACAACTTTTCAATTTATAGATGCGCCCGGGGGCGGGCCCTCCTCGTGTCTCCCCATCGATTTTCCGAGCATCGGTTCCGCAAATAGTTTTCGGGGAAAGGTCATCCGGCAGCCGGGGCCTTTGTTTGTTCGCCCCCTTCCTGTGCGGGAGCCGTCGGTTTATAGCTCATTACGGATCGCGGTGGGTCGGTCTAGCGCCGCAGATTAATCAAATTACCCACGCCATTATTACCGTCTAGAGAAAACAGGGCTTAAGTGCCCTAATATCGAAGTATTATTCAGTAAGCCCCGGGCCAGATATAGCTTTGGTACTGTTTTTGTCCCGACTTACCAGTACGTTACTTGTATAAGGACTAAAGTGTGTCGTTTAGTCGCTTGAGGGATAAAAATTCACTTTAGTTCCATAGTATCACGGTAATCTTCAATTTCGCGTACTAAAGTGTCCCTAACAAACTAAAATTCACTTTAGTTTCGTCATATGTACATTTCATGTACTAAAGTGTTATTTGACTTTCTATTACGAGGGACACAGTGTAATTTTTACTTTCCAAGGTTTTCTCATGTATTTGTTGTACTTTGTTTGAACTAAAGTGGTCTAAAATACCACGTAAGGACTAAAATTCACTTTAGTTCCATAGTATCACGTTAATCCTCAATTTCGCGTACTAAAGTGTACCTAACAAATTAAAATTCACTTTAGTTTCGTCATATGTACATTTCATGTACTAAAGTATTATTTGAATTTCTATTACGAGGGACACGGTGCAATTTTTAATTTTCAAGGTTTTCTCATATATTCGTTGTACTCTGAACTAAAGTGGGCTAATGTACCACGTAAGGACTAAAATTCACCTTAGTTCCATAGTATCACGTTACTCTTCAATTTCGCGTACTAAAGTGTACCTAACAAACTAAAATTCACTTTAGTTTCGTCATATGTACATTTCATGTACTAAAGTATTATTTGAGTTTCTATTACGAGGGACACTGTGCAATTTTTAATTTTCAAGGTTTTCTCATATATTCGTTGTACTCTGAACTAAAGTGGGCTAATGTACCACGTAAGGACTAAAATTCACCTTAGTTCCATAGTATCACGTTAATCTTCAATTTCGCATACTAAAGTGTACCCAACAAACTAAAATTCACTTTAGTTTCATCATATGTACAGTTCATGTACTAAAGTGTTATTTGAGTTTCTATTACGAGGGACAGTGTAATTTTTAATTTCCAAGGTTTTCTCATATATTTGTTGTATTCTGAACTAAAGTGGGCTAAAGTACCACGTAAGGACTAAAATTCACCTCAGTTCCATAGTATTACGTTACTCTTCAATTTCGCGTACTAAAGTGTACCTAACAAACTAAAATTCACTTTAGTTTCGTCATATGTACATTTCATGTACTAAAGTGTTATTTGAGTTTCTATTACGAGGGACACAATTTTTAATGTTCAAGGTTTTCTATATTTTTTGTTGTACTCTCTTTGAACTAAAGTGGGCTAAAGCACCACGTAAAAACTAAAGTTCAGTTTAGTTCCATTGTAGACAGGTAACAATTTTTGAAATTAGTGGATCAAAGTGTTACTTCAGTTTCGGTTGTTAAGAATTAATGCCAAACACATTTTCTTACGCTTTTTTTGACATAGTAATTTCGTTTTAAAAAAAATCAGCAAACAGAGTTAAAATACTCACTTGGTGTATTGTTTGAGAGGTCTGGTGTAGAAAGACTGAGGATCTGGACCTCCTCGGAGTGATTCCTACGTTTTCTCCTCGCATAATCGACTCTACCACTGAAAAAAAAATGTCAAGTATTGTATACGCTAATATAAAATAATGTATATTTCAGAGAGGTGATTGGTTTAAATTTGCGCACAGAAAATAAAAAAATTAACGAAAAATACATATACAGGGTATTCCGCCTAAGAGGGATTCTGCTGTAACTCTGCAACTGGAAAATTTATAAAAAAAAAATGGTTTTAATAAAAGTTGTCTGGAATCGTGTGGGCCATGTACAAAAAATATGTTTAGCTTTATAAGGTGTTTGTTCCATTTTATTAAAACCATTTTTTTATAAATTTTACAGTTACAGAGTTACAGGAAAGTCCCTCTTAGGTGGAATACCCTGTATAAATGTGTCCCATATATACATTTTTCGTTTGGGTTCCAACAAATGGATGTGATCTGCATCTAAACAGCAAACTCATAAAAAAATAAAAAGTTTTCCAAAGCTCCTTTTCATAGAAATGTCGATAAATAATTATGCAAATACGTAATGCATATGCTAATATTTCCAAACAATAAATAGCAAAACACATAAACAACGTAGGCGTAGTTGACCTCAAATACGCTTAAACAGGAATGTTGACAATATGCACAACAAACAAGAAACACACGTTGTCTGGCATTCTCCAAATTGGAATTATTATTGGCAGTCGTAAAATAAATAAAATTCAAATTAAGTAAACACAACAAGAAAAGGCTGTGACTGTATATAAAAATATTAATCTGTTATTTGGGTGAAGAATTATGATCCTTTTAATTATTATTGTTCTGAAATGTTTGACTTTCAATCAAGTTAAAAATGTTTGATAGTGATTACAGCCACGGATATGAGATTTAAAATATCTAGTGTTAGGAAAAATACCAAGTGAAACGGCTTGGCATATGGGGTTTGCTATCTCCCACAAGAGTATAGGTACAGGTACAGGTTCATAATAATTGTGGATGGATGAAAAAATAAAACCTTTTATTGCACAGGCGCTTATATAAACCAATTTTTTACATTGTAAATTGCGTAAAATGTTTGGACACGATGGTAGATGCAAAATGTAAACGAATTTTGTCGATAAGGTCCATTATTCCAAAGACCCTCTAGGTAAGAAATAAAAAATACGTCTCTGTGTTCCTGGCCACTCGACAACATCCGAATTTGCATTTCTTCTGTAACATTCATCAGTCGCCGGATCGACAGCTGCTCAGAAAGGGGCATTGACTGTTCCATGAATAAATTTAAATAAATTTGGCATTCCGATGATAAATAATATATACCGTAACGGGGGGCATTAAAAAAGTTTCGCTCGGTCCTAAGCTCCCGCTTAATCACTTTCTTGGGTTCGCGTATCTCGACTAAATATAAATGGGCTTAACTGTATAATTATGGCGTGGGTGTTGTAATTTTTTAACCGTTTTTTTCCCGTCGGATTATAGAAGGTGAGGGAAAACAGAGACCACCAGTATTTTCGTATTTTCCTTTCCCGAAAAAATTCAAAAAAAAATTCTTGGAATAATTGAACCCAGTAGACTGAGGTCTGTTTTTCACCAAACTTCAAAGATATAAGATACGTGATATCTTTATGAATATATTTTTAACCAAAACCGCTTGTTTTAAAAACTAGATTTGAATTTGTGTCACTAAAATGTAATTATACGGCTTTGTAACGTGTATAACTTGTTTATAAGTAACTGTAACAGTAGCCTAAAACAAATATTTCGATAACAGCGTTGTTGTTCGAAATCCAAATATATTTTCAAGGTTATCAGGAAAAAATTTCAATTATGACATAAATATTATGGTAAATTCGCCCCAGAAATATACATCTACATTGAATGAGAAGTATGCTGGACTGACTTTCTATTAAAACAAAAAAACGGTTATGAAAACTTTATTTATTGGTTACCATAGGCAAATCAATAGAGGTTTTGTTAGTGACAAAAGTACTAGTAGCAAACGGACTGTGCCATCATATAAAAGACAGTCTGTCTTATATGTTTCCTACTCTAATTTACCATTAACTAATTTAATTTTTTATAAACATTTTTACGCAAAAAACGCATTTTTTAAAGTTTTTTGCTTATAAAGCGTAAACTAACGAAGCAATCTGAATGCTATTGGAGACAATCGAAATACGAATAAAACGAGAGGTCGATAATATGATTTTAAAAACCAACCAATACGGTCCTGTACAGTGAAAATTGTGAGACTTAGACCCTTGCTATATAAGGCAATTCTGAATTATTTATTGGGTTCTATTTGTGGTTAAAGTTTGATTCACTCGAAAAAATTAAAAAATTGCAATTGTGCCAAAACTAATGGTCCGACAGGGCCTTCTTTGTTCACACTTTAAAGTACATACAGGTTCGGAAAGTACCGATGGTCCATCTGCCGTTACGTGAGAGCGATAAAGTAAGACATAGAAATCCATGCACACAAATAAGATCCACTTTTTATTTGTGGAAGGGCGAAATGGGCGGTGACTATTAGACGCCTTCATTATAGCCATCTTTCTCTATCGCACGGATTTCTATGACTTACTTTATCGCTCTCACGTAACGGCAGATGGACCATTGGTACTTTCCGACCCTGTATAATTAATTGACTAGGTACTTTTGTGTACAGGGTCAGCTCTACAACTTAAAAAATGGCAGAGTATTGAATTAAAAAAAAAGAAAAATTTTCCGATTTTTCCTAGTTTTCTTCCTTTCTAATTATTCAATCGGATCGATCTCGTTTTATTCGTATTTCGATTCTCTACAAATTTTCTCTTTATAGCATTCAGATTGTTTCGTTAGTTTATGTTTTATAAGCAAAAAACTAAAAAAAAATCGTGTTTTTTCAAAAAAAGTTATATAAAAAATTTATTCATTAATGGTAAATTGGAGTAGGAAACACATAAGCATGAAGCGGCCCAAAAAGACGATTATTTTTTCGTGTCTTGTGAAAATATGTTATCATGTTTATCATGTTTTAAGAGCCCCCTCAAAAAATCAACTCAAANTGAATTTTTTTTAAATTTTTTTTCTCGTTATTTTATCATTTTCTAGGTTGAAAAAAAATTCGATTCTGAAAATTTCAAATAGATATTTTAATTTCTAAAAGTCACTCATAATTATTTTAATTTTCAAAGTAGTGTACGTTTTCGAGCGACCTCTAAATAAAAGATATTAACGAACTAATAATTTTTTTTCATTGAATTTGATGAACAAAAGAATAGAAACAAATCGCGAGACACTTTAAATTTTAAAAAATTAATTCTCGAGAAATTTTTTAAGTGTCTCGTGTCTATTATTTTGTTCATCAAATTCAATAAAAAAAATATATTAGTTCGTTCATATTTATTTTTAGAAGTCGCTCGAAAACATTTTTTTTCAACCTAGAACATGATAAAATATCTAGAAAAAATTAAAAAAAAAATCTATTTTTGACGATTTTGGAAATTTTAAAAAATCTTGAGCGACCTCTAAAAAAATTTTTTTTTGAGCCGATTGTTTGAGGGGGCTCTTAAAACATGATAAACTAACATATTTTCACAAGAGATACGAAAAAAAAATTATCGTGTTTTTTGGGCCACCCTAATAAGCATACACATTATATCTAGACTTTTTTTTCTTTTATATGATGGCACTAGTATTTTCACAAAATCACTGATTTAATGTTCTATTAATTGGCCTAAAAAATAAAACGCAATACTTTAAAATAATTGGAACTCCCAGCCTGGCAAATAAAGGTCGACCAGCTTATCTGTGTTGTAAGATTTGTTGACGTTCATGTTTGTATTTTAATCGACTGAAAACGGACTGGTAAATAAATTATTATTATTCGCTGCGAAACGTATCGGTTCAAGGAAATCAAGCCGGCTATGGAAGAAATATGCGAACGCCCGGGGCCGAGACAGAAATTTCCATTCATTAATAAAACCGAGTCGAGTTTATATTCGGGTTTTATTATCGGCCGGAATTTAAACTTTGAGCTCGCACGAAATAATTCAGAAAGTAAATAAGGAACCGGTTATAGTCGGGGATGATGCAAGCGTCGTTACATAAATATTGAGATTTAATAGATAGCTAAAATGCACAGTCGCGTAAAATACGTTATTTGACATTTATACGCGGCCTCCGGTTAAGAATAATCCTGGAATGCCGACCAGCGCGAATAGCGTCGATCTGAGGACGGACCGGTGTGAGGTTGGCAGCCAAAAGTTAGCAGCTAAAGAACCCCGCACGGAATCAATGGAAAATGGGCCCCAGTGATCCTATGAATAGTTTCAGAGATAAAAAGTGATTTTTGCTGTAGGCCTGAGTAAGCCTCACGAAGTTTCAAGTTGATGGACTCTAAAACTGAGGCATGTAATGAATTTTGACAGTACCTGACCTCCAGGTGACCTTACATAGCTAAGCTACCCCCGAATTAAGGTTCAGCGATCACAAAAGCATTGTACCTACTGGCCAAAATTCATTACATGCCTCAGTTTTTGAATCCAGGAACTTCGTGAAGCTTACTCAGGCCTACAGCCAGAATAACTGAATCACCCTGTATATTGTGGGTAAAAATATTTATAAAGAGCGCAGAGAATGGAAAAGCTATGTAGCAATCGTTACAAGTTCAACTGGGGCGAGTTTTAAACCCGATTAATTTTCTATTTAAGTTGCACAGATGCATAAATTAAAAGGTGAACAAAAACCCAACGCGCGACCCACTTATCCACCGCGGCTAGCCTCGAACTGGCGTATTTATTTGTGTTTTTAATCGAAAAGCGTGTTCGCTGTACGAGACCCGTTTTTTAATCACACCGGAGTGCAAAAATTGCGCCTGCTTTAATATTTATGACATGAAAGTTGCATTAGAATAAGCTGTAGCGTTTGTTAAACCGTTCGCGCTGATATTCAATTTAGTAGAACGGAAAAACATAGGTTCGTTTTAAGGTTTCAGATAACGTTTATCGTTATTTAAATATAACACACACCGATACGGAACATGCGAGAAATAATTAATTGAAAACGGTTTTCGGAAATAACCATACGCGCTACTGGAATTTCGTACAATAAATTTCATTGACCCCAAAGTCGAGAGGGTTTAAGTCAGGCGATCGCAGTGGCCATGCTACAGGTTATGTTCGTCCAATCCATTGCACTTCTTGAATTTGAAACTAGCCATCACGGTTGACTAACTTTTCCGAGGTGGAACGAAAGGGCAAAGAAGGGACAATTAAAATCGGCGCCGCGACTCCAACTTCCCAACTCCGGTTTGGCCTTATACACTGCAGTAACTGTATTAATAAAAGTTTGATGTTATGATGTAAAAACTTCCAGCGGGGCGAGAATCAATTGGCAAACTTGGTAAAAGTTGCAAAAAGTTTTCAACTGGGAGAGAAAACTAATTTCAACTGCGTGGAAGTTCTGGAGTTCCAGCGGAGAGTTCGGCGGAGGGAAACTTTCGCAGGAGAGATGAATATTAAACCTTTGTGATGGGTGGAAACAAGTTCAACAAGTTTACCAACTCGGGAAAGATAAAAGAACCCTAATTCCGTGTAATTTTAATTTCCATTTAGAACTAAAATTACTTTTGGGAACTCGTTTGTGTGCCAATCGATTTTCCACCGAGGGAATTTACTAGCGGCATTATAGAGTTGGTCATAAGGAACTCGCCCTGCATCAAAAAATTAAAACTTCAATCTTATGTGAATAGTACATACGCGGTACATAAGTCTTCTAATGCTAGTGTCACACAGAGCATTATAATCTATGTTCGCAACAATTTAGAAACGGCCAAAATTACAACTATAAATAGCACTACAGTAACAGCTGTATTTACCACAAACTACGCGTACTAAAAATTACTAGTGGTACTTTATACTATTGTTTAATGCTACGGCCACACAATTATGCTAGCTATGTTCGCTATACATGATGAAAATGGTGAATATTCAGTCCACACAGAGCAATATACTAGCTATCTTCGCTAGACACGTTGAAAACAATCAATATTACAACCATGTAGTAGTGTTTGCCATTCTCGTTTAATGTTAGACTGCACAGAACGCTAGGTTAACTATGTTCGCTATACCCGTTGAAAACAGCCAATAATACGAACATGCAAAGTAGCTATGTTCGCTATACGCGATGAGAACGATGAGAACGACCACGTAGCTGTGTTCGCTAATCTCGTTCCGTGTATTAAAAATAGTCGATTAAAGCTAAGACCACACACGCGCTATGCTATCTATGTTCGTAATATACATTGAAACAGCCAATAATTACGGCCAAGTAAAGCACAATGTTAATTGTGTTTGCTCTTCTAGCCATTTTTATTAAACATAGCTACTACTGTTTAAGCGCTATGTTCGATATGCGATCGTGCATAGCAAGATGTGCTAGTTGTATTCGCTATGCTCGTGATGTTTATTAAAAACAGCCACAGTTTTAAACAGACGTAGCTATAAACAGCATCGCTACAAAACCAATACAAAAATCCTTGTTCTTTATTAGCTCATAGGTGTTTTAAAATGTCTGTCAGTTCTAACTATATCAAAATAGCATATCCATTTAGTATTTTTATTAGACATAGCCAACGTAACGTTTATGTCACACCTTATGATAAGATGCTTCTTTTTTAAAAGTAATTACTGTTTAAAATTAGTCGAATTGTTGCTGTAGATGGGTGATTTTTCTTTCAAATTGGCAATAGTAAAGTTATTGGCCATACGCTAATGGAAATATATTTTTAGACTATCTCTTTATCAAGGAATAAACAATCAACATTAAAAACATCCGGTTTAATAAAAAGCCAGTTAAAATTCCATTTCGCGTATTTTTTTACGGAATTTTTCCATCAAGAATCCATCAACGAAAATATTGACACAGACCGGAATGCTAATATTTATATCGTTATATGCGAAAACAAATGAGAAAAATATACAAGCCAGTAATTAGTAACAATTTGAAGTTATATTTAAAAAAAACTTAAATTAAATTGTCTTTTATCTTACCTCCATCTCCAATGAGCCTCATTTGCACCAATGCAGGATCTTCATTGTGTTCCTCCAGAACTGTATCGTCCGTAACTGTCAGGTCCTAAAACAAATAAAAAAAATAGTAATTAATAACATTTCTACCATCATTGTTTGTCGAATAGGAAGCACAATCATGACAAGTTTGTGCCGATTTGTTATTTCCGCGGACGGTGTTTTACTTGTTCTGTTAGTGTATTTATTATACAGGATGTTAAAAAAAGAGTGTAAAATATTTAAGGAGGTAATAGTATGAACCAAAATAAGCAGAAAAGTCTCAATAAACATGGGTCCGCAAAGTAACGGTTGCGGAGATATGGAATGTTTTATGTTTTTTAGCCCCTTTTTTTATTTTGCAAAAAAATGTTTAGTGAAATACGTACGTATTTGACAGTTGTTCTCAGTGCACAAGTTTTCTTTCGCTATGGCTGGTTACTCTAACGCAGAATTAACAGACATGCATTTCATNTATATTATAAACAAACGCGTTATGAATGTTGACATTCTTATAGGCCAGAATTTTACTGAGTTAAAGGACGTTCATTATGAGAAATTAATTGGTTTATTACGATTTAGTTCTAGGTCATTATTATGCTGCTTACCGCTGCGACAACAAATAATCGAAAGGCTTATTTTGACGCAAAGCGACCACCAGCAAATTACCAGGTGGGTTACCCGGTTCTTTTAAAAATGACTTCTTCTCCTGCTACAGGTAGTAGCCAAAAATTATTGCCAAAGTGGAGAGGTCCATACAGGGTGTCTAAAGTATTAGAACATGACAGATATGAAGTTCGAGATATTCCACGAATGTTGAGGTCACAGATTCCCTATACTGGAGTGGCCGGAGTAGTCAACATGAAACCTTGGATTCACCTTTATTATTTCTAATACTTCAGGTAACGCTAAGTAGGTACACTGAGGGGTATAGTGAGCTACTTCGATTCTCGGAGTAAGCATTGAGTAAAAGGTAAATAAAAACTTTTTATTCAATGGAGCAGGGTTTTAGACCCAGTTACTCGAGTGAGACCTCAGGGTCTGTGCCAGACGAGAATGGTTGAGGCCTGTCCCCCTCAGCGGCGAAAGGCGGTGGGGTAGTGGTTAGCTGCCCAGAATTACCGGAGGTGGGGTTGGTGGTTAGCCGCCCAGATTCACCCGTACCTTTCGCGTGGGCCCATAATTAGATTTAAGTAGGTAGTTAGGGTGGCGAGAGGCGGTGGGGTAGTGGTTAGCTACCCAGAATTACCGGTAGTGGGGTGGTGGTTAGCCGCCCAGATTCACTCATACCTCTCGCGAGGGATTAGCCCATAGTCTTTAGCTGATAGGTAGCTCTTAAGTAACTAGGTAGTCATGATAACACAAAACAAGTACTAATATTTATAACATAAAATAACAATAATCGTTACGCCCATTACTAATAGATTTTCTTATGTAGGTTCAGTGCTGGAGTAGGGACACTCCAGGTGTCAGGAAAGGCCGAATGTTATCAACTTTTGGGGTTCCGGCTTAGACCGACGCTGAGTGAGCAGCGTAAGCGATGATGTCATTTGGCCAGGGCCAGTGCTGAGCTTGCAGAATTGGGCGCGGGATATCAACATCGGGACGATATACCATATACTCTTTCTCGATCTGCCGAAGAAAGTAGATGCTAACGTTATAACTTCAGTTTATTAAGAAATATTATTTATAATTAAATTTTGTAAAATAAAAGTTGTTTACATTTGTGAGCTGGCAACAATATAAACACAAATTTATTCTCCTGAAACAACTGGCACGGTGAACCACTGCCGCGGCAAAGCCGCTGATGTACGTCCAGGTTTTTTTTTACGAAAACTGCACTCTGCATAATGTTACACGTACTCCTAGTCATAACACAGGCCCGCAATAAATATTTAAAAACGCCGGGACGAGCGGTGATTTTATTTTAGCGCTTTACATCCCGTAAATCAAAATATTAATGGTGGAATTTTGCCAGCGGAGTTTACAAACACATAAATTCGTCGGCGACCGTAAAAATACCGGATTTATATTTACGCCGGCATGTAAATAAACTGGAGTATCGAGGATTTTTTTAAAGTTGTTAATTAAATCGGTGTTTATTATTTTCCGCGTGCTTTATGTCGATCTCTGGGCACCGCGGCAATAAAACAGAGTGTCTTACTTTTACAGCGATGTTTCATTTCAATTCTCCAAAAACATTTCTGACATATATCAAACACAAAAATACATCTAATTGATTAACAGGGCATTTAATCCCAAGAATTTAAAAGACAAACCCTCGGGATTGCAGAATTTCTTCGTTTAAATTATAATAAAAAATTGCACAAGCATTAGGTTCTTTTTACCCGAGAACAAAGAGGGCAAGTTAAAAATTCCTGGCTAAGGAAGTGAAGGCATTTCTCTAATATCAGTAGTTAGGAGGCTTGAGTGTGTATCTTTTGCATACTTAGAGTTTTTGGTATCGAAGAATATTGTTAGGTTTTATTTGATAGGAATTTTAGGAAAATGTTTACCTTAATAGACCAATCTGTCGAAGTATTCCACTTCTTGGATGTAAGAAGGGGCAAGCTAATATTTGCTGAAATACCTTAAGTACATCTCACATAATAAAAGTGTAGATTCCTAGATCTGGGCGAGGTCCGGAACATTTTGAAAATTACAAAAATATTTAAAAAATTTTAAAAAATACCTATTTATCTGAATTTGCACATATTTTGTTATAAAGTTTATTATTTATGCATTAAATATACCTACTGTATATTTTACCCTATACCCTATACAATAAGCATTTTTTCAATGAAAAAAATTGTTTACGTATATATTTCAACACTGAATATGAATGTATTAAGTTATAATTATTACAATTATTTAAATAACTTTTGTTTAACAAATTAAACAAATTTATTAGGAAATTAAGTGAACTAATTTAATTTAATTAACTAAATTAATTAAATTTTTGTTAAATACGGATAAAATTAAGAAAAAATAGTACTTAAAATTTATAACTTAAAAAAAAACTAAATTCCAAATTGATAAATGTAATCTAACTGTTTAAAAATAAAAAAAGTATTAACTTCAAAAATTTACTGTGGCCGTCCTAATCAACCAATTTCAAATTTTCAAAAACCATTTGAAAGGTTGAGCGGTCTTTTCTATGTGAAAAAATTTTCAAGTATCTAGATGCTTTATTTGAGGCTGTGCAATATTTTTAAAATTAGAAAATTTTATTTCAAAATTTTTTTCAAAAAATTGTTTTACGAAAACTATCGAACCCCCATTTTAATTAAATTTAGTGTGTTGTTTTTTTATCCTCTAAAGTTTTTTTTACCGAAGTTAGAATACCCTCGGAGCAATTAAAATATTTTAAAACATTTAGCCAAAAAAACTTTATTATTTTTCATCAATTATTACTATTTTGCAACATCGGTAATAAATTTAAACTTTTTTTCTCTATAATATTCTTCCAAAATGCATACGTTCCAAGAAATAAGTAAAAAAAACTGAGATAAATTAGGATTTTTTTAAAATTTTTGCATTCCTGAAAACGTTCTGGGCCTCGCCCAGGTCTAGGGATTTATTATGTGAGTTGTATTGAAGGTAATCCAGAAAAAATTTTCTTGCCCCCTCTCACATCCACCTCAAAACACATCCGCCCTGGTCTTCAAAAATAAAGTACAAATTACTTGATTGTCTTGATAATAAATTGACGGCCATTCGTGAATACGAAGAGAGATTCTCATCAAAGATCCGCAACGTCTACATATACCGATCACCGCGACCAGCGAAATCACGAATTTCAGCCGGCATCAATTAACCGTTATCTCAACCGATAAAGCATCGATTATTGACTAAACTCTGATTAAAATCTATTTGCTTTGCAGAAATATGTCACTGCGCGTCCCATCTGCAAACAACATTCTATTGTGCAACTCGGATAAGGCTTATCGCTGTTTAAACAAATAGTACGTATGGAAAAAAACATGTAAGTAACATCTGTTCGTGAAAGCCCGCATGAAGTGCTTTTTGAAATACAAGTGGACCCGTGTTAGAATGGGAGCCGAGTGATCGGATCTGACATTTCTGGTTTTTTTTATGGTTCTATGAGAACAGGGCCTATTGCGGCTAATAAGACAAGGGTTATAATCAAGGTCTGTAATAGGAGCCTATTTTCTCTATCAAGAGAGACGTTGTCTACAAAAACAATTAAATTTGAGCGAATATCAAAATTTCAAAGCAAAAGAGTGTATTTCGAGCACACATAATTTCGTTGAGAAACCAGGCAGACCGAAAGGTATGCGTAAACAGTTTTCTATTTATTTTTGCAACTAGGTTTACTTAGATCTGTTCAATTTAATTTGGGCAGTCACACGGTACTTTCCGACTCGTTTTGCATCGAACATAAACGAGATTATTTTAAATGTTTATTTGTTCACTACCAAAACTTGTAATGTTTGCGTATAGCAGAAGTCGCTTCACTGTTACGTGAGATGAGTCATCCATTAAATTTCTGCCGTAGCAAGTGGATAGTTGCACGTGTCGTACGTCAGGTGGCACCATCCTACTGGAAACCACGTCATCCAAATCCATGCCATCCAAATAGTTCAATAGCATCTCTCGATATGGTTGTCCATTAACAGTCAGATCGTTTCTAGTCTCACTTTCAAAAAATAACGAATCAATCACCGAGCTATCGTAAAATCCACACCACACTGTCACTCTTTGTGACTACAGTGGTCGTTCCTCCCTTTAAATTGTTATATTTGTGTAACACTTGTTTATTTTTCAAGTATTGTAATAATAGGAATGAATATATATTTTATTATGAAGTGAAAACTATCGTGGTTGCTTTGAATCAAACCTCAGCTACTCACACGGAATGCGCCAGCCAATTGTTTATTTGCCCTTGAGATAATGTAATGTATTTATTTGTTTTTATTGACAGAACAGTAACTTTGTTATTTGTTTCATCTGGCGAATAACCCGGCTGTTGTCGAGATAAACTGCTTTATGATGACCCATGTATAAAAGGTAACAATACCAATAATAACATCTAATTTCCATTTGCTT